ATATATATATATATATATATATATATATATATATATATATATATATATATATATATATATATATATGATTTCTTTACCTCGAATTTTCCTAGGGAAACACCACAGCTCTGCAGTATTGCTGCTGCCGCCTGCTTGCATGCATTGAGCCCCTTTGCTCCTCCTTCACAAAAAAGAAGAAGAGAAAAAGAAGAGAGAGAAGGAACAGCCAGGGCTTGTCCTTGAGCCTGCATCTGCATGCGTTTTCTCTCTCATATTAAAAAAAAAAAAAACAAAAAAATATTTCATACCGTAAACGCCCGCGCAACTTCTGTTGAATTTCGAAAACGAATTGGATATTGACCTCTATAAAAATACATCAATATATAATAAAAAAAAAGATATATATATATATATATATATTTATTTATTTATTTATTTATTTATTTATATATTACCTTCTGCTTGACGTTATGGTGGCTGTGCGGCAAACAGTGTATGCAGGAAACTGAAAGGAGAAATTTGCATCGTAGCAGCATGAAGGCACCGGCGGAGGTGGGGGCTGTGGAGGGCCTGAAAGAAGAAAGTTTTTTGTTCAGAGTTTTTTTTAAAAAGCAGAAAAGGGGTTGATCGTTTTACTTGGGAGCTTGCTGATATCTTGCTTAGAGGCAGGCAGCAGAGGGGGAAGCTCAGTTGCTGCACGAGCTGACGAACGAGAAAGAGGAAATAAATTTGAACTCTGATGAGTTTCCTGTTGTTCTGTTCGCCGAACATTCTGATTCCACGGCCGCTTCAGGCCGCAGCTTGTAGGAGCCTGCATCGTGTTTCTGGTGGGGAAACGGAACGATAAGAGTAGCCGTAAGAAGAAGCAATAAGCTTATTCAGCTTTCAAAACTGTGTAGGTTCGTTCATTTGTTTCGAATGATGGAGGATCTCTTTATTTTTTGGTGGTTTCAGGGTTTCAGTTCTCTGCTTTCTCATCGTGCCAATCGGGTGTACAGGCAGCTCAGCTCTCACCGCAGCATCGGTAGGGGAATATACGGTGTTTAGGGATTCTAAAGATGTGTGACGGAATACTCTTGAATAAAACTACATATTCTCTTTTTCTCTAGCTCTACTCACTCATCAGCTAGAGTTGGCCTTCATTTTCGACAGAAAGCTGAAAATATGAACTGCACTAGTTCGTGATGAATGGGGTGACTGTTTGCAGCTATTTTGCGTTTCTCTGCGTTCTTAATATACTCGACGAAAAGAAATATATTTGAAATTCAAGTCTAGGAAAAAAGTTACCTGCCTTCATTGTTGTTACTTTTGCGGGGTTTCCGCGGATATCGAGGAGGCAGCTGATATTCACAAAGAGGTTTCAGCTGTTTCTGAAGACTGATATGGAGAACCAGTTCCAGTATACAAATATAGACGATGTGCAGACTGCAACCGGCAAGAAAACAAAGAAATGCCAGTCATCTTTTACAGCATCAAGCCACCAAATACCGCAATGCGGCATCAGCTTTGAGATGCATGCAGCATAAACCTGATAAACAACTATAAAGGCTGCAGCCATGATCATCATGCAGCCCCGTGCAACCCTAGAAAAGCCATCCGAGGTATTCTCCTCATCCCCCGCCTCCTCTGGTGCAGGGAATTCTGTTGCGACGAAGGGAGCGTCATAGCTGTACATCTTGCGGCGGTTGAGTGGGCGGATGAGAGCAAGAACTGCAGCGTTTGGCTGTATACACACTCCTCGAACTGCTTCAGAAACCTGAAAAGTTTCTTTTGGTGCTCTGCAGCTAATCAGCTGTAGCTGAACATGAACTACAAGAAGAGACGCTGCCTAGTTGCTGTTCTAACGAAGCCAATCGATCATCGACTGGATTATACGGCTTAAACAATCAAAAGAAAAGAAAAATCAAAAAAAGCAAAAACTCTGCATGCGAGAAGGCCGTGAAGGTGGAGTGGCCTACAGCGGTACTTTTCCAGTGCAGAAACCAAGGTAAGAAACAAAGAAAAAAGCTGTTGATGGATCTAAATAATTCGTTTTATATTCTTCTAATCACCAAACAAACACTAAAATATTGCAGATTGCAACAAACTGAGGATATTCAATCGGGAGAGGATAGGCGTGAAGAAGAAGGCAGAAGGAAAGCTGCAACTTGTGCTGGTACATTCGATACCAGTGGTCTCATAGTGCCGCTGCAGCAACAACTTGTAAACGAATGCGTGCGTATTCCTCAAAGAAACAAGTGAATAGTTTACTATTTTGTTTTAATAAATTCTTTATTTATCTTAATTTAAACTGCAAAACACACAGAGACGCTACAGTGATGTGGGGGCCGCCGGGCGGGTGATGATGGACCTGAACGATACAAGTTCAGAAACCAAGAACGAGGAAAGTTGAATTAGGCTGCAGGAGCAGCGAATACAGCAATACAGAGATCAAAGAAACTGAATTTAGTTTTCTTTTCTATTTCTCTTTCATATTATTTATTTTTGTTTTTTAATTGGGTTGCTGCAGAGACGCACTGTTGCCTACGGTTGCTCTTCTTTAGTGGCAGCAGTTCACTACGGTGGACGGTGGCCTGCTCGGTGACAACGGCCGACACAGTATAGCGGATCTCACCGGAAAGCTGAAGGTAAGAGAATTAATTAAAAGAAAATATTAAACAGCAAATAAATAAACTCCAATATCTAGTTAAAATAAACAAAAATATACAGCAACTGCGGCAGCCACGCCGCACAGCTTCCCCCTGACCTTGTTCCCGCTGTCGGCTGCGGCCCGTGGGCCTGCAGCCGTCGAGTTCAGCCCCTCTTCACCGACGATCTGTTGCATTCATTGATTAAGTAGCAATTATATCAAGAGTTTTAAAAGCTTATTTGTTTGTTCTTGTGTGTATTCAACTCTAAGGATGGACTCTATGCATCAACCGCCACCATAGGCCACCGCCGCGCCGCCTCTCGGTCGTGGGCGCTGGACATCTCGTTTCGTCTGCGATCGTTCCCCTTTATTTCATTTTCTTCTTTGTTGTATGATATATAATCCTTTTAAACTGTTCTTAAACCCTCTTTAACTCAGTAGCAGCAGCAGCAGCAGCAAACTCGCGCCCGCAGCACTCCCGCTGTTACGGCCCCCAGCAAGCCGAATACCCCATCGCCACCGCTCATATGCAGCTCCTGCTGCAGCCATTCTGCTGCTGCTGAGGTGTTTATCTGGTGGAGACTATAAAGGCCTTCTCTCGAGGCCCTAGAAGACCCCTTTAAGCCGCTAGAAGGGCTGAGGCAGAGGGCCCCGTGCTGCTCTGCTGCAGCGGTTGCTGCTGTGCTGCACCTGCTGCTGCTGCTGCAGTGGCCCCCTGCGACGTTGTCTTGCACACAATTTCTCCAGGATGTCTGGCTACGAAGGCGTTTCCCCTCCTTCAGGCTCTGCTGCTGCTGCTGCAGGAGGTGCAGCAAGTGGAGCAGTATCTGCAGCAGCACCTACAGCAGCAGCAGCAGCTGCTGCTGTTACTGCTGCTCCTGCAATGTCTTGCAGCAGCACGCGGCTCCTAACCTCCGCACCAGCAAGAGATGCCCCTGCATATGAGGCTGGCGCCCCCACCCGTCTGTTAGCAAAGACCCCCTTCGAGTTCTGTGCTGCAGCAGCAGCAGCAGCAGCAACAGATGATGATGATGATGATGATTGTTTGCATGCAGCAGCAGTGAAGGCAGAGGAGAGGCTTTCTCGGTCTGTACAGACACCCCGTGGCTGTCGTTTGCTGCATTCTTCTCGGCGCTGTGGGAGCAGTTGCTGCTGCGGCGGATCAGCAGCAGCAGCAGCAGCAGCAGCAAGTTCAGATGCAGAAGGAGAAGCAGCAGGAGCTGCTGGGGATGGCAACAGCCGGGAGAGTATTCGTGTGCAGGTGTTTGAGAAGCTGCAGCAGCAGCGGGAGCAGCAAGAGTGGGAGGCAGAGCAGGCGCTGCAGCAGCAAGCAGCAAGTCTGCGGCAGCAGCTAGTATACCTGCGTAGACAGCTGAAGGCGCAGCAAGATGAATCTCTGCTGCAGCAGGAGCTGCTGCAGCAGCGCGAGGCTGCTCTGGAGGCAGCAATGAAAGAAACAGCGAAACTAAGAAGTAGAGAACAACAACTAAAACAAGAAAAAGAAATAATAAAACAAACGCATGCACAAATACAAACAGAAATGCAGCAGCAGCAGCTAACAGCAAGACAACAAAGAGCAAATGTTGCCCTCGAATATGCAAAAAAAATTAATAAAGAAAGAGAGATATTTGCTGCTCAGCTGCATGCGCTGCAGCAGGACAAAGAAGCAGCAGCAAACGCAAACAAAAAAATGCAGGAAGAAATACTGCTGCTTAGGCAGCAGTTGAGGGCTACAGCAGCAGCAGCAGCAGCAGCAGCAGCAGCAGGAACAGCAACTGCAGCAGCAGCAACAGCATATCATCCGCCGCAGATGCAAACAGCAGGAAAACAGAATCTACTGCTGCAGCAGCAACAGCTGCAGCAGCAGCAGCAGCAGCAGCAGTGCCTCTCGCCTCAGTCTGTAACAAGCGAGGAGGGGCTCCTCCAAAGCCACCGCAGCACCACCTGCAGCAGCAGCAGCAGCAGCAGCAGCAAAAGCAGCAGCATCAGCAGCACCAACGGGCTACCGCTGCTGCCTTTAACGTCCCCACGTATCCTGCGCATGCATCTATCGCAGCAGCAGCAGCAGCAGCAGCTTGCTGCAGCAGATCCTCTCCCTTCACTTGCTGATGAATTGAGAGCCCCCTCAGCTCTGCCCACCAGCAGAAACTACAGCAGCAGCAGCAGCAGCAGCAGCAGCAGCGGACGCTGCCCCCCAACCCAGCAGCAGCAGCAGCAGCAGCAGCAGCAGCAGCAGCATCTACAGCTACCAGAGGAGGGAACAGGCGATCTGATAGATTTAGAGGCGGGCCCTATCGACAGCAGCAACCCAGAAGCAGCAGC